ACACCTCATAAGAACATTCAGAGGTCCTTTACCATGGAAACCCATGCTGGAGGATATCCTAGTGATTATTGGTTGGGGAACCAAGTCCCAGAGTGAGTGTGCAGCAAGTTAGAGGCTGACCTGGAGCTAAGATCTAGGTCCAACATTTTCAGGTATTCTGACTCCCCTTCTCTTTATACCACAGGATCGAGCACTGCCTCCCTATACCCTGTACTCAACTTTCTACTCTATGTGCCTGAGCTTGCCCACACCCCCCTGTACATTCAGGACAAGGATGGGGCTCCAGTGGCCACCAACGCCTTCCACAGTCCCCGCTGGGGTGGCATTATGGTAATAGTCATACTATGCAGGCCCTAGAGCCCAAGCTTCAGGGACAGGCAGATGTTCCCTGAAACTGTTCCTTCTATTTTTCTTTTTTTTTTTTTTCCTTTTTTTTTTTTTTTTTTTTTTTTCGTGACCGGCAACGGATCGCAACCCTCAGTGTCGCGCCCGTACCAGACCGGGACCGGCCACGGGATCGCAACCCTCGGTGTTGCTCCCGCCCCTCGCTCAGCCAGTGAGCGGCCGGTCTGTATGTGGGATCCGAACACTCGGCGGGAGCGCCACTGCGCTTCCCAAGCGGCGCACTATAGCAGTGCGCCACCGGGCCGGCCAATTTTTCTTCTGGTGTTCTCCACGGCCCAGCCTGTGGCAGGGCAGGAGCAGGGTGGTGAGAGTGCTGTGCGTTCATGCCCCTCCTCTGCCAGCCCCTTTGTTTCTTATTTCTGTTAATGTTTTCTACACCAGGACCTATTTTCACTTGTCAGCTTACATGCACTTAGGACTGTTCTATGTCTGTCTTAGATCTTGGACCTATTTATGGGAGTTTTGCAAGGTTGGGAGCCTTGTCTTCTCTGTTATACTGGAAGTTTCTCATGGCGGGGGACTCTAAGATGGGATTAAAAAATCTATTTTACAGGACTTTCAAGGGGGTAGTTGTGATAATTTATTTAAAGCTCCTCATAATGGGTACTCAAAAAAAAAATATTAGCTATACCATCGGGTTTATAGCTTCTAAAGAGCAGAGAATACGTCTTCCTTTTCTCTCATGGCCTCCAGAGTGCCTAGGGCAGATCTGTGCACAGTCTTGGTGTGGTGTGTGGCAACTTCACTCTCCCTTTCAGGTATACAATGTTGACCCCAAAGCCTATAATGTCTCAGAGCTGCCAGTGAGAGTCGAGGTGGACATGGTGCGAGTGATGGAGGTGTTCCTGGCCCAGTTGCGGTAAGGTCCCACATGATCCACGTGGCCACCAAGAGTCTGGCCACAGTTTCCTTGGCTGTAGAGGGAAGTTCAGAGCAGAATGAAAACTCACCAGGCAGGGATACCTTGGCTGTGCCTAGATCCCAGGGGAAACCAAGAAAGGTTTCTAAGTATCGCTTCATCCTTCTGAGGACTAGTAGCTGACAAAACCTGTTTTAAGAAAAATAAATAGACTCCTGAATGTCAGGTCCTTGGGTGCGCTTAGGGGTGCTTAAGAGAATAACTGTTAATTCTTGTGCTCACTGATCAGTCGAGAGTAGCTGCCTGAAGCCGTATGCTGAGGATTCTCAGGCTGTGTCTGGGCTCATCAGGAAAGTCTTCTTCTGATTGATTAGCAATGTCTGTCGTGGGTATAGGCTTAGAGAAGCACTGGTTATGTGCCTTGTCAAAGGTGGTCCTGAATCGTCCCTTAACTCTAAGTCCCGTTAGTCCTATTTATCCAAAGATAGAGTGAAGGCATTAAACTGAGTTGGTGTTATCAGAAATATTTTAACCATGGAACCTTTTTTCAGATGATATCTTGGAAGCCAATATAGAAACAGGTAAAAACGGAAACACTCTGGTTGTAGCGGGATTTGAGGTTCTGGATTGTTGGGTGGTGTTGTCCAACCCCCCCAACACCCTGAGGCTCTTCCCTACAACCCCTATTGTTCTGTGTAAGACTGAAAGTCACTGGCTTAGGGCAGATATTCTAGGAATCTTAGCCATCGTTTCCCACCTTCTGGCCTCAGCCACCTTGATCTTCCTTCACTTTTCTTACAGACTGCTCTTTGGGATTGCTCAGCCCCAGCTGCCTCCAAAATGCCTGCTTTCTGGGCCTAATGGTGAAGGGCTAATGACCTGGGAGCTAGACCGGCTGCTCTGGGCTCGGTCAGTGGAGAACCTGGCCACAGCCACCACCACCCTAACCTCCCTGGCCCAGCTTCTGGGCAAGATTAGCAACATTGTCATCAAGGATGATGTGGCATCTGAGGTAAGTAGGCAGGGGATGGATTCTGTGGTCTAGGATTGGAGTGGCCAGTGAGGGCCAGGGTGTGATGAGACTAGATAACCAGTTGAGTGCCAGCGTTTGTGTGGGCACAAACCCTTAAGTGCCTCATGCTTCTACACAGCAGTGCTAGCTCCCTGCAGGAGTTCAGATGAGTGTGAGGTTTGAAGCTGACCCTAAGAAAATAAACCATAGCCCTTTATTTATTTATTTGAGAGCTGGCCAGTACAGGAACGTAGCCCTTTTAGACTTACCTTTGGATATCCTGGGTGAACTCCAGGCAACCTCCCTGGTAGATGGAAGGCACAGTAAGGCCCAGCACCTTCCCCACCAGTGCCTAGGACTTACTGGTAACCCTTGTCCCCTCCCCTTCTTAGGTGTACAGAGCTGTAGCTGCAGTACAGAAGGCAGCGGAGGAGTTGGCCTCTGGGCACCTGGCATCTGCCTTTGTCTCCAGTCAGGAAGCTGTGACATCCTCTGAGCGTGCCTTTTTTGACCCCTCACTCCTCCACCTCCTCTATTTCCCTGATGACCAGAAGTTTGCTATCTACATCCCACTCTTCCTGCCTATGGCTGTGCCCATCCTCCTGTCCCTGGTCAAGATCTTCCTGGAAACCCACAAGTCCTGGAAAAAGCCTGAGAAGATAGACTGAGCAGGGCAGCATCTCAGTAGGAAGCCTTCCTTTCTGGCCAGCGTGGGAGGTGTGAAATTGAGAGGCACATAAATGGGGTTTGCTGGGAATGACTGACTTGTCTCTAGCAACCAAAGTACAACACTCCCAGATAGGTTCCTCTTTCCTTCCCTTCCCATTACCCTGGCTCAGGACCCCTCCTCCAGCCCCCTCCTCCAGAGCCTCAAAAGGCATGTTATCTGGGTCTCCTTTATTTGGCTTGAACTTGAAAGCCCCTGCCTATCTCCCTTTGGGACAGGGGCAGCTCCTTGTACATTTGCCCTTTTTCTCAACATAGCACGCTCCTGCACTGAGGGGGAGCAGTGAGGGTTGGATTCTAGCTTCCTCCCCTTCCCTCTTTCTGACCCCTGGAGGAGAGCTCTAGCACTGTTCTCATGGAAGGGGCCAGGTACAGGTCACCTCTGGGACCTTCTCCTTTACTCCCCTCCCTTCTGGCTGGTTTCAGGTACAGCCTGACAGGAGTCCAGGAGGCTGCAGGTTGGGACCTGGTGCTGTGTGTGGCACAGGTTCCCTTCATCCTTTCCGAGAGGCAGTATGATACAGTGGGAAAGTTTTGGACTTGGAATCAAACAGGCCTGAACTCAAATCCTGCTTCTGCATTTATTGTCTTGGGAGCTTTGGATAAGCCACTTAATCTCTCTGAGCCTCAGTTTTTATTTGTTCAAATGGCACTGATGATACCTCTCTTTCGAGGTGGGTATGAGGATTAAATGTGATAAGCATGTGAAAGTGTTAATGGCATATATTAGGCTCTTAATAAAGATTGGTTGAATAGGAATTAGAATCCATTCATTTGTGTATATGTAGCAGTTTCCTGGTTTCTGTCCTCCTGTGCTCACAGGCCCACCTTGCTTCCATGTGGCATGTGCCCTTCCTGCCCCTCCATCCTGTAGAACCCTGGGGTGGCTAGACACCTGGGCCATTGTCCCTAGGCACATCCTGGGTTGCCCAAGGCTGTTAGCAGCTGCTTCTGCTTTTTAGCAGGGGGTCTAAGAGAAAATAGCTTGTACCAGTGAAAGCCCTTAGATGCTAACTCATTCATCGGTTCAAAAAAAAGTGTGTCGAGCACCAGCTTCAGGGAGCACTGTGCTAGGTGTTGGAGTGTTACAGAGAACAAAGTAGACAGGATCTCTGCTTTCACCAAGCTCATCTTTCAGGGGAAAAAAACAATAAAAATAATTCCACATAATGCATTAGAAAAACAAAGAACAAAACGAAACCCAGGCAGATGAGATAGTGACTGGAGGGAAAGTACTTTAGTTGGGTGTGAGGGAGGGCCTTTCAGTAGAAGTCATTTGAGCTGAGACCAGAAGGACCAGAAGAGGACATCTGGGGAAGAGCATTCCAGGCAAAGACCCTGAGGTTGGAACTCGCTTGGGGGGCACAGAGAATGGCTGGAACCCGGCGAGTAAGAGAACTAGTCAGGACCCCTCCGGCACTGGGAAAATGAAGGTCCGGCGTGAGCCCCCACCCTGGCCCGCCGTGCCCGCAGCCT